CGGCCGGCCACTGCCCTTGGGGGACGAAGTGGAGGGCGTCTTGGTGATGCGCAGCGGCGACACCTGGGTGCCATTGCTGTCAGCATCGCAGTCGCCGTCGCCGTCGCCGCCGCCGTGGCAGTCACGCGACGGGCAGTCGGGTTGTGGTGGAGGGGAATGGGGTGCTTACCGCTTCGTTGCGCGACATGTCTGCCGCAATGTGCTAGGCGCGTGCAAACAAAGAAATTCTCTGTTGTCTGTCTAGGGCGGCGGGGGATGGATGCCGCGAGTGGGCAGTCTCCGTCGACGAGTTGGTTGGGCGTGCACTGGCAGGCCAAGTGTATCCAGGCAGTGAGTGCCCGGCAGCGTGTGCGCTGATGAAGCCGGAGGCAAAGCAACTGAAGGACACACACACGCGCGCACACACACGGCGCGCAGAGGCTATGGTGCAGTGAAGAGGCTGTCGAGAGCGAGTGTGTGTGTGTGTGGATGCGTGCGGTGTGAATTGGATTGGGGCCGTGGGCGCTATCTAAGCTGTTGATAGCCGGGGTAGACGGGTGTTGGGTGGTGTTGCTGCGGCAACGAGCCGCATGTGGCTGGAGCCCACCCGCCTGTCCATGGCACGCTGGCAGCAGTGGCAGCCCACTGCGCCTAGCGCCCACGGCCATCGCGACATCGCCCGTGCCGCCCGACGTCACCTCGTCTGCCCCGTTTGGGCAAAAAATTGCCCTCCCCATCCGCCCAAAAAATAATCCGCCCACAACCACGCACCATGCTGCCACGGCTGCCCCCTCCGTGTCCGCTCTGCCGCCCCACGCCGCTGCTGCGGACCTCGCCATTGCGCCGCCAGCCATCATCACGCCTGCACCGCCCGTCATCGTCGTCGTCGTCGCTGTCGCCGTCCAGGGCCCCGAGGCCCTCGCGCATGGTCTTGTCGGACCATGTCGCCCGCACGCCAGACAGCAAGCCCAAGAAGGCGGCCGATGCCTTCTCCTACCTGAACCGCACACAGGCGCCGCCGGGCCTGCAACGGATGCGCGACCAGAGAGAGGCTCGTGGGCGCCCGTCGTCGCCCCCAGGACGCAGCCAGGGCAGGCCCAGGCCACGGGCAGAGCCCTTCCACGCCCTCAAGATGCAGAGCTCGCTGCACCAGGTTCCCTACAGCGACCGCACCGCCATCAAGCGCAACATGGACCAGTACGACTCGTTCGACAAGTTCCCCCTCGCCGAGCCCGTCCTGCGCGCCCTCAACGATGCCCTGCCCGGCCTCGAGTACCGCAATCCCACACCCGCCCAGGCTGTCGCCATACCCGCCCTGCTCGGCATGCAAAAGGCTGTGCGCGCCAAGGCAAAGGCGAGCAAGACAGGCCCCGACGCCTTCTTGCTCGCAGCCGAGACAGGGTCGGGCAAGACGCTGGCATACCTGCTCCCTACCCTCGACGCCATCAAGCAGCAAGAGCTGCGCGAAAAGGACGAGGCCGAGCAGCAGGCAAGCAAGGCGGCCCAAGACGCGGCTGCGGCTGCGGCTGCCAAAGAGCACGATAAGCGAACCGACATGTTTGCTGCCGAGGAGCCAGAGATCAACAAGGCCGTTGACCCAGCCCGCCCACGGGCCATCGTCCTCGTTCCCTCTGCCGAACTGGTTGCACAGGTCGGCGCCGTCGCAAAGTCGCTCTCGCACACAATCAAGTTCCGTGCCGCGCCCATATCGGCCAAGATGTCTGCCACCGTCATCCGCAACCAGCTCTTCAACCCCAACGGCGTCGATGTTGTCATCAGCACCCCGCCGCTCCTTGCCAGCATTGCCCAAAGCAACCCCAACATCCTTGCCCGCGTTACCCATCTGATCTGCGACGAAGCCGACTCCCTTTTCGACCGCTCTTTCAAGGAGAGCACAACCGAGATCCTCGAGCGGGCCACTCCGTCTCTCAAGAAGCTCGTTCTATGCTCGGCCACGATTCCCAAATACCTCGACAAGTACCTGGCACAGAGGTTTCCCGACATGCACCGCCTCGTCACCCCCAACTTGCACGCCATTCCTCGCAGGGTGCAGTTGGGCGTCGTGGATGTAAACAAGGATCCCTATCGCGGCAACAAGTTACTTGCTTGTGCAGACACAATATGGCAAATTGGCAAAGCATCTGCTGACTACGATCCCACCGAGGGCAAGGAAGCAATACCCACAAAACGCATCTTGGTTTTTGTCAATGAGCGCGAGGACACTGAAGAGGTGGCACAATACCTTGTCAAAAAGGGCATTGATGCCCTAGCCTTCCACCGCGACACAGACCCTTCGCGACAAGCAAAGATTCTCAAATCTTTTACTACCGATGCTTCACTCGGCACATCGCCAGCGCCTCAAGACGAAGCACCCATCAACTCAACACTGGCGAACAAACGCACTCTACCCAACACCAAGGTCATTGTCACAACTGATCTCGGCTCAAGAGGTATCGACACCGTGTCTGTTCGACACGTCATCCTCTTTGATGTCCCCCACACCACCATCGATTTTATCCACCGCCTTGGTCGCACAGGCCGAATGGGCAGACGTGGAAGAGGTATTGTGCTGCTCGGGCCAGGCGACCGTGCAGACGTTGTACGAGAAGTCCGAGAGGCCATGTTCAGGGGCGAAGCGCTTATTTGAGAGGCAACGCCGTCGTGTACGATTACGGAGAAGACCAAAAGTTTTGTATATATAGTTAGTTAGACATACCCGAGTAGACTTGCGGCTGGCCTCGACACGATTCGAGGCTTTGCTGTAGCATCGCACTTGCGCCATTTTACGACTAAAATAGACATGAATGACAATGACGGATGATAAGATCCAATTTACTCTTCAGGTTTGCATCTTTTTTGCATCTACTACTTCAAAAACTGTATCTCTGCTTCTGGTTGCTAAGAAGAAAACACTACACAAGACGCATGCATTGATCCATGTCTGGGTGGGTCAGTCAATTTATTCACCCCTGCAGACTGTCTAAGCAGTGCCATGTCCATGGAAATATCAACGCTTCGGCATGTCTACCAGTGTATCACAGATTGCAGCTGGACTCGCTACCAGTCGCAGCATTGGCCTGGTCACAGCCTGGATCGTCGCGTGCTGAACCGACCAGATCCAAACAAACAGCGGTACGCGCCTCGGTGGATCCAATCTCAATGGCAATGACAACGCAACAGTGCCCGTTGCCCAAACTACAGCTTACATGCTCGGGAGCTGCGTAAACAAGACTGATTGTTTGTGTACATGTATGTTTCACAAACATTTGCATCCCGGTATTATCCCTGCTGCCACCCAAGTAATTACCTAACCGACTTGTTCGCTTCAATCAACCTGCCGACAGCCCGCTAGCGTTGTTGTCCTCCAAAACTCAACGTCCCTGTCACACGTTGTTGCGGTTGTTACGGTTGAGACGTGCAAACTACGCTTGACAAATCCCTGGACCCTCATGAATGCATTGCCGTCGCCTGGGCTACCGCCGCCTCATATGCAGCAACTAAACCGACGTCGCTAACAATAGCCCCGCCGTATCTCGCCTATCTCAGATCTAGTCCTAAAATCACATGCTTGAAGTGAAGCCTGCAGGATACGTATGTATCATCACGCTACGCGGAATGGGCTAACGGCTGACTGCACTAGACCTGCAGAAATATCGATAATAGCCTTGTATCAATACTTAACATCCACCTTCAATTCAGGTTACTCACAGCCCACAAAACAGGTTCTCGCAATACTGTGCCCGTTATGGATTAGCACTGCATCTGTGCGGTAATTTACTGGCATGCATCAGCCCCATGTTTTGCCCACCAACAATCTACCGCACCTGACATGCTCCTATTCATCTCCATTTCTTTCCTAGAAAAGCCTCGCGTCCTAGTAGAAGAAAAATAAAGTCAAAGTAGCACCCGAATGCTCAGGGGCATGTAGCAACATCCTAGAAGCACTGGCCTACCTAGCTGCATACTACTAATAGTCACAACATTCTAATCCATTCAAGTACGAGAACCCCTGGATCCCGTACCTTGACCATTGGCTTTGTGCAGCATGTACATTCATACATACCAATTCATCAGTAGGCCTATCGGGTACACGTACCCACCCGTAAGCTGACATACACCGCCAAGACCAACCTTGAGGACGAATGAAATCGACATGTCGCCAAAGTCTGGCCTAGAATAGTAGTATATCTGCAAAACAGCAGACGTATAGCCCCACTTGATTAGCTCTCGTGGAATTCACATAGTCCAATCATTTGAAAAGGTCACCAAGTTGTTATCTCGGTGGCTCGGTGGTATTGCAGATAAGTATGTAGTAAGCATTGGTACGGGTTGTAAACAAACAATGTAATCATGTGGTTTTGAAGAGTGAATTTGAGCGTCTGGTGTAACAGTCCATATGTTATGGCCTATGGCCGTGACCGCATCATTCTAAAACAATATAATAAGAGTAGGATTGTACATATGCTTTAATTTTCCAACTACATTGCGAGGGCTATGAGCAATTCAAACCATGTGTGTAAGAAAGCTGTCAATTGAGTACCCTCATCTGGCGGCCCCTGTGAGATGCAAACAGACTAAACCAGAATTATTTGTCAAAACCTACCAAAAGCAAAGATTCCATCCTTAAACAAGTTTTGGTACTTGCAGAAAAATACGAGTTGCAATGGTGTATTGTTTAATTGATGCAAAGTCCGAAACATCATCTGGACGTACGTACGTATTGTAGGCTGCAAAATTAATCTGAACATATACATCTTCACGCAGTATTTGAGATGGATCACTCAGAACTCCTCATCTCATTTTGATTCTCCGTCATTGTAAATTGGATAGCACAAGAATTTGCTAATACGTCTAGCCAAGGACAACGACCAGATTTCCGCAGTTTTCGCAGCCTGTGGCTCAACCACAACATACTCGCACGTCGTTGACGAATGATCTTGATGCTTGGCTCGGTATCAAGGGTTGCTTACTAGTATTGCGTCATCAGGCCCTGCATCATGTAAAGCTGCTTGTATATCACCATGTACGATAGCCATCGGCTTACTAGAAAGCGACGCAGGTTGGGATTCCGAATCCCCGAACTGGCCCCCACTTGCCAAATAATGTACCCAACGCCATACATGGCACTTCTCACAACATCCAACACGCCTGGTATGTTAGCAGTCATTTCACTATTGAGCGCGACGCATCCATTGTTTTTCGAGCACAGGGTTACCGCTTGCGCCTGTCCAGCCAGGGACTCGATGCAATAGAAAATGCCCTCGGTCCTGAGGACTTTCAGAAATTCTACGACAAGTGCGGCAAGACTGGCGGCGCGGGATTTGCTGCCATCGACCCATTGACGGGCGAGACACTGACGGGGAGGACAGCCACCTGTCAATAACAACGGGCCATTGACTAGCAGAGATGGCAAGATTGTGGGCATCTCGCGAGGCGACATGCGTACGCTCTTTATAGAGGGTCTGGAACACAACATACGATGGAGCCATCACATTGTAGGTTATGAGACGACGGACGACGGGGTGCGCCTTGTTTTTGCAGACGGAAGCAAGAGTGAAGAGGGTTCCATGTTGGTAGGTGGTGAGGGCGTCAAGAGTGCAGTCGCAGGCCAACTGTCGAATGGCGCCATCAAGGTCTACGACCTGGGCTCGCGACGAATACATGGTCAGGCGCCTACGGCCGCTTTCAAAGGCCTGGGCGAGGGCGTCTTCGTCATCAGTGATACTGATTCACAGCCAAATGGTGGAAAGGTCTTCCTAATCACCAATGTGCGTGCTGGCGATATGGACAATCCAGACGTCGAGTTTGGCTGGACCATGGGCGGCTCACCAGGCGTTATTGATGCACCCAACGACAACTACACCATCACTGGCCCACCAGCGGCAAAAATCGCGAAGTCGCTTATCTCGCACTGTCACGCGCGTGTAAAGTCACTCATTGACAATATGAACGAGGCCGAGGCTGCCTTTTGGAAAATCACTTGTTCTTCGCCAGACGGCGTGCCTACATGGCCCAATGAGCCTCTAATGACTGTCATCGGCGACGCTGTGCATGCGATGACGCCAGCAGGTGGTAACGGTGCGAATACGGCGATGCGCGACTCGGCTTTGCTGGGTCGGTTAATGGCAGAGGCGTGGGAGCGCGGCGACGGCGATAGTTGGACGGGCGTGACAGTAGCCTACGAGAAGGAGATGGGTGTCTATGCTACTGAGGCTGTCCAGGCCAGCTATGGCTCGGCCATAACACAATTTGGCGTAAATCTTGACCTGGAACATACGCCTACCATTAATAAGTACGTGGCCCCCAACTGAAATGGGATGTGATAGCTTCAATACAGACAGCAGAAACACCAGATTCTACGAGACCTTGTTTCGTCCAAAAACTGCCATGGCTAATATGTGAACGGCTCCAACTTGACCAAGATGATTGCAGCACAGTACCCCCAGGCAGGCTAGAACTTACATTTACTACTATGTAGCAGCAGTGTGGCGTAAGCGACAACCGAGCAAGTGGCCCGAGAGACATAAAAGCAGGTGGAGCAGAGCGGAGCAGAAGAGTCGAGACTTGACGCAGCTCGCTATAACCAGACGGTTGGCTGTTGTTGTCGCACGGTGTGCGGCTCCGGCGGGGCTGAGAAGCAAATTTGCTCCATCACATTGACTGTCTGGCGTGTCTAAGCTTGCGCGAAGGATGGCCTGACCAGGACCAGATCCGATGGTCCCCATCCGCCACCAAAACTACACGACTCATGCATCTTTCTTCCCCCGCCTTTCCACTCGGTCCACCCCCGGTTTACCCCGACCTTAAAAACCGGGTCAGCCCACCATGGTCCCTCTTCTCGCGCGAGATTCCCGATGGATGCACACGCCTCACCACGACCGCGCAAACGTCGTGCTATCAATGCCTGTGTCAACTGCCGGACGTCCAAGGTGCGATGCGACGGAAACCGCCCCTGTCAACGTTGCGAGAGGAACAGTGCTTCCTGTCAGTACTTTGACGCAGTCAAGGACGAGAATGTACTCCGTATCGAGAAGTTGGAAGCTGATATGGCTGCACTGCGCGAGCTGCTCGGCACCAAGGAGACACCAGGTCCAAGGACTAGCGTGAGTGACGGCTCTTACATGCGTTAGTGATGCTTCTCGAAGAAGTCCCGCCCTATCAGACAGGTGCCGGATTGGCTGCAAGACAGTCCAAACCCCACGTGGCTGGAGGGATAAAGACATGTCGCTAACTCGGTTCCCAATGCAGTCACACATGGATAACGCAAGCGTGACTGTTGCAGAAATCACACCCCGTTCCCCGACCGGGCACAGCGCAATCGGCAGTGCCGTTGATGCAGGCTTCATCACTTGGGATCAGGCCACTCTCTGGTACCAGAGGTAGGCAGACCCCCTCCATTGTTTGCTCCCACTCATCATGCTGACCCTCTTCTAGCTTTTTCTCCGGGAGTGTAAGCCATGGCTCTATTCTCAGCAACATGACGCTAAGCAGCACAGCAATACCTCGTTCCAATATTCTGTGAGAGATATGACACCATCACTTCTGTATCCTCACGGAGTGCAGTCCTCTTCGATGCCATAGTCAGCATCGGTTGTCGTGCTGAAGAAGGTTTCAATGCAACCATCTACCGCCAGCTCCAATCCAGGGTTCGCGATCACATTACAAACCTACTCATCAACAAGAGTATACCCAGTATAGAGGACATACAGGCCATTGCTCTGGTAGCTGCCTACTCTGAAAATGCCTTCTTCTTGATTGCAACGGCCCTTCGCTTTGCCATACAGCTTGACCTGCCTAGGGTCGTCGATCAACTAATTGCAAAAAGCCAAATACGTTCTGGAGCCGTCAACAGCGATGAGCAAGAACTGTACCGTCTGTCCCGGGTCTGGCATGGAATCTGCAATCTCGAACTCTTGTAAGCCCTATTCCGGTCACATTTAGCGTTGGCTGTCTGACGCACCGCAGTTTCTCGCTAGACGGAGGAAAGTTACCGGGCTTGAAGTTCCACACCTCCCCTAGGAAAATCAGAAGCCTTCTCCAACACCCTGAACATACACCAGTCGACATTCGGCTACTCTCTCAGGTAGAACTCAACTTGATTCGTGCAGATGCATATGCCAAGATCATGCGACGAGATACGGATGAATTTCTTCTCCAAGAAAACGAAAATAAAGTCCGGAGTACGGTAGAGGAGGCTAGTGTTGAGTTGACGCTCTGGCTGGATGAATGGACAAATATCATCTTGGCAGAACCCGTGCCACAGCGACGAGCAGTGGCGTTACAAAACCTGCACATCCAGCGTGAGTGGGCCATGATGACACTGTACTTGAAGGCCGTCGCATCATCTGGAGTGGAAAATATTGCATTCATGACCGACTTCCAGAAGAACTTCATACGTAGAGCTAAAGACGCAGCAAGCCGACATCTACACTACATGCTGCAATCCTATACATCCACTCCAGATTCTTCGCCGGCGTCCTCGACGCATACAATTGGCTCTACCTATCTTAGTACGTTCCGGTGGACTCTGGATTACGTATGGGCAAAGTGCGCAGTCTCCGTTTTGCTCGTACTCAAATTGGCCATTCTCCTCCGTGATCCTGCCGCATCTGTCATGGCGCTTCTCCGCGACGCTCATAGGGTACTTGAAGAACTCAAGACTGTGACGGTAGGACATATTGCGTACTTCCAAATACTTCAAACAAGTATTGAGAAATGCGAAGCTGCATTGCGAGAATACTCTGTTGAACAGAATCATGCTACGCAGTCGTCACCTGCGTCTGGAACGGATGGTGGTGTTGCTGAAACAGAGTTTCAGGGCTATGTGCCCCGAGAATTCGTTTTTGAGTGGGATTTTCCTGGGCTCAATCTCAAACACATGCCTTTAGGATGGCAGGATCTATTCGTCAACATTGACAGTCTTTTCTGATTTGACACTGGAGCTGGTATTAGACTATCGACTAAAAAAGAACCATCAACAGGAGATGTATTGCTATGTTTGCCTCAATTTTTTCTAAATCATGGAATGAATATCTATGAATAGTCATGCGCAATTACTCGTATTAATAGATGTAAATGAAATCTTCGTTCTTGAGGTCGGTCACATCGTCAAAGGCCTTGTCGCCCACCCCACTTGCCTCGTTCTCGGCTTCTTCGGCGCTCCCTTCAACAGCGTTTCCCATGCTTGTGTCGACAACAACAGCCGACTTGCCCATACTCTCTCGTGTCGCGGCATGCTTGCGGTTCAGCAATTTGATCCATAGCATTGCCGCCAAGATCAAAACAATGATAAGGATGAAAAGGGCAAGGCACACACGCAGTCCACGCTTGTAGTACGGCTTTTCAGATGGCTTGAAGATCTGGGGCCCAATGATGTTTCCTGCACTGGCGCCAACAAACAGTATGCTGGTAGTGACTTTGCGCTTTGTGTCTCCGCCAGTGTTTTGGCCCGACCAGGAATAGATGAGTGGCGAGATACCCGGATAAAATGATGTCAAATAGTACCCAAATAGCAGAAGGCCGCGGTTTGAAGCATCACGTCCAACCACCATGAGGATGACAATGCCGACAATGGGTGGGATACATAGCAGGATGAGGACGGGCGACTTCTTCTTGAGCCATGTTGCCAGCCAAGCACCGCCAACCGTCGCGACGATTTGCACAACGCCAAAAGGCATGTTGAACAAGATAGTCTCAAACTTTCCGAAACCGAAACCCTGAATGATCAATGGACCGAAGGCGGAGATGCCACCACTCGGAATACTGATGGCGGTCAACATGGAGAACCAGAGCCATGTCTTGATGTCCAAGAATGCCTCGAACACATGGTCCCACTTCCAAACTCGAGACGCAACGCCCATCTGGTTCATGCGCAGACGCTCAACTGCGACGAGTTTTTCATGCTCGGTCAAGAATTTTGCCTCCATGGGAGAGTCGGGCATGAAGAGCCAAACGAACACCGACACCACAACAGTGAGGAGTCCACAAAAGAGGAAGATGATCTGGTATGAGTGTAGAATACTCGAGTCAATGTGTCCGAGACCATAGCATAGCAGACTGCCAAGAATGTTGACAATGCCCAGCATGGCATACCAGGCCGCATTTCGGTTGGTTTGTTCGCCACGCTTGTACCACATTTGGACTACAGCGATAAAAGCGGGAGCTTTGAGAAACATTAGAAGATGAAGCTGAAAAAAAAGGATGACAAGATTTTTTTTGTATATGTAGAGTGGAAACTTACCGACTGCAGCCTCAAAAGCGCCCAACAGAAACCGCGTCGCCATGAGTCCTTCAAAATTCTTTGCACCTGCCATACCGCAAAGGATACATCCCCATGTGAAGACCATGGCGCCAAGAAATTTTCCCATTCTCATCTTGACGAGCAAAAAGGCGACGAGCGGCTGTGCCACCAATTGGGCAATGTAAACGATACTTCCCAACCAAGAATACTGCTGCGACTTTGGATCCAGGTGTGCATCTTGAATCAGTCCAAAGACGGATGCGTATGAGAGAGTGGTCTTGTCGAGGGACTGGAGGAAATAAACGCTAAGCAGGATGGGCAGAATGATGCGATCAATCTTCTTCAGCACACGTTTATTCTCCTCCAATGTCACGACGATGCGTTCGTTTGAGGCGAGCAGCTCAGCGGCCTTGTCTTTTCCTTTACGGTTCTTCTCGTCCGTGGGCTTGTGGATCGATTCTGTAGTTTCGACATTGGACTTGACACCAATGTCTGCTGCTGCTGCTGCTGCTGCTGATGGACTAGTCGCGGCCATGTCGGGCTTGTGAGACATGATAAAAGCAAACAAAGATAGCGCCCTGAAAAATGGGGGCACTATTTGCTGGGCGATCTGCGCAACAGCACTTATATCATTTTTCCCCACGGGGACCCCATATGTGAATCTTCTCTGATTCCAGACTAGTGGAGCGCAGGTGTCGGCCGAAGATGCCGGCCCAACGGGCCTTGTGACAAGCCTACTCCATTCCTCTCGGCAGCTAGAAATGGGGTTTTCGGTCAAACGCCGACTTCAAACCTTGCTATAAATTCCGAGTCACTGTGTCGGCAGTGGTCGAAAAGAGCATACCGCTTGTCGACGCCCCCCGCCCTTTTGTTTCGTCATGCCCATGCTTGAGCACGTTCCTGCCGGCTATCAGGCCGGCGCTGCCACGGCAACATCAAATGCGAGCGTCCAATTACAGTCAAACGTAGGAGACTTCAAATTTACATTCGATGTGATACGGCCGGGGCTCTTTCGCACAACATTTACTTCACCGAAACATTTACTGCCGCCCCATCGAGCAGTCCCGGTGC